GTAAACACAGCATCAGCAAAACGATGGCTAGCCCAGTGACTGTTGGGGGCTATTTGGCAGTATATTACATTACATTATATTACATTCATTTGTATCCAAACCATGTAGGAGCAAGAGCTAGATACACTCCACAAGTGTGGAGTGTATCTCTTTTGAACACTGTCCTGCAGTAAACATACAAAACACTGTATAGATGAATGTGAAATATACAGTATATTAGTGGAATGTTCACTTGGAGACTCCCTTGAAGAACAGTGAAACAAAGAAGTGAAATGTACGGTTGCCCCGAGAACTCAACGTACTACAGCTTAAGAAAACAAATGCAAATAGACAAAAATTGACGAAATTCATTAAACATCTTCATCAATTTGACAACACATAAGCTGCAAATACTCAGAACACAACAGAAGTGTTTCCAGGGGACAATGAAAAGTACATGTGTTGTCAGACAGATGAAGATGTTTCTGGAGTTGTTTGTGTTTTGTCTGTTTGCGTGTGTTTTCTTAAGTTGCAGTGCGTTGAGTTCTCAGGGCCACCGTAGAAATGTGATTGGCTCTCTACCCAACAAGAATTGGATTTCATGCGCAGGTAATGCAGTTTCTTAGTATGAACACACAGAACATCTTGTTACACTAAACGTGACATCTTCACATTCTTCAGCCACATGAATCACAACAAGTGAATGAATAACAAAACTAATGATTCATGCTAGTTTACTTTCACAAGAGCCTTGACCAAGATGAGGGGCCACAAGGTCCTTTGAGTGATGGTATGGCTCAATGTCCGGAGGCAGAGGAGTGCAACAGTTGGGTTGGGGAGTAGGGTATGACTATGGCTTGGATGTGGGAAGGTGCCTTTCTCTTCACTGCCCTGCACCAACAGGGGGCCAGTGTAGTGAACAGAGAAGAGGAGTGGTATGTTAAACATACACTGAATATCAGATAGGCGTTGTAGGAGAATTATAAGGCCCAAAGATGTATGACTTGATATCACCTGGTTGGACGCCAACAGGAGTACAAGAGCCAATGTAGGAGAATAACAAACATAACAATAACAAAAGATATGGTTTGGCGGCCAACAGAGTGGGCCAAGACACTTTGACTGTTTGGGAAAACATCTGGAAAATAGGAGATTGGGAAATCAAGAATAAACATAACGTTAAGGCGCATTGCCAGTAGAGCACGATGACCTGGAAGGGAGCCACTGTGTTCTGCCAGGAAGAACACAGTGACCTGGGTGTGCGCCAGGAAAACATAATTGGTTAATAGATAGGCAAGAGTAGTATGACGAAGCCAAAATGATTGGAAAACAGGATGCACATACACACACATAGCCATATGAGATATGAAAGGACATGCCTAATTCTGTGTTTGGGTTTTTTATCTCCGTCTATGACTGCGAGTAGGGCCGCTGTGAATAAAGAGACTCCCCGCTCTGACACTTGTGTCTCGACTGTCTGATTCCTTTTTCGATCCACCACTTCTCGCCACAACAGCGTCATTAGTGTGGATCAGCTGCAGAGGTCTACTGGCAGACATCGGGGGTCCAGCGTGGATGGAGTCACAGCAGTCCAGGAGACAAGTGCCTGGATGAGAGTGATGACCATCATTCAGGGTCACTTGTCACTTGAGTCAAAGTGGGCATTTGTGTAAACTTTGAAGGGATTCCCTTGAGGATCTCTGGAGATATTGCGTTCACGAGGCCGAAATTATGTTTTGTGATGTCACCGTGACCTTGACCATTGACCTTTAGCCACCAAAATCTGATCAGTTCATCCTTGAGTCCTAGTAAATGTTTGTGCCAAATTTGAAGAAGTTTGGTCAAGGTGTTACAAAGATATCGTGTTCACAAGGCCAAATCTGTCTTGTGAGGTCACAGTGACCTTGACCTTTGACCGTTAGCCACCAAAATCTAATCAGCTCACCGTTGAGTCTCAGTGAATGTTTGTGCCAAATCTGAAGAAGATCCTTCAAGGTGTTACTGAGATATCGTGTCCACGAGAATGCTACGGATGGACGATCTGAAAACAATATGGCTCCGGCCCTGACTGTCGCTGGCGTGGACGCATAAAAAGCGAAACTACACAACGAGGGCAGAGCAGCACCCAGTCAATTTACAGTGCACAAATCCCAGGGTTCTACAAAAGGTGGAACTCAACTGCAACAGCATTTTCCATGGCGTTACCCAGACACGATCAGAGTGGAATGGCGCGGCCACCTCCATCAGTAACATACTGTATGACACCGACTGAGCACACACACTGCATAGTGTATTGCGCAGGAACTAAGGAAATTTCGTGTGGAGTGGGAAGTTGTTTGGATGATACTCTTAAGAAAGCTACAAGCTGCAGTAACGCAGGCCAATCAATCTGCCCCTTCTGACAGGCACAGTTTGAACAGACACTGCACAAGCGAAGATAAAAAGCAGAAGCAGAGAGAAGACACTGGAAGATGAGAAAGTCCTCCAATAGTCTTCTTACACTTAGTCCCTCTCAAGCTATATTTCTCACTACGCAGTGAGTCAGACAGCCAAGGCACACAGAGATGGCCATGCAAGGTGAGAGGACAGAGAAGAAGAGGGGTGGTGGCAGATTCAGGGGAGGGGAGAGATGAGAGAACAGAAGAGGAGAGGCCGGCGGGGAAAAGAGAGCTGAGGCTGTGGCGAGTAGAGATAGTTAGAGAGAGATGGGGGAAGGTTGTGAGTGGTTGTAGGAGAATGGGGCGGAGAAGGACACAAAAGCAGTGATCAGAGAAAATGCAGAGGGGTAACAGTGTCTGTAGTAAAGCAGTGTCCAGGCTTGTGAGTGGGCGAAGAGCGGAATAGACAGAAAGAGAGAGAAAGAAGAAATTCAGACTTCAATGACTGGATGTTGAAGTCTCAGAGTGAAAAGCCGAAAAGTCTGGACGATGTGAGAGGAGTGTGTCTAACGCCAGTACCACCACCCTGCCCTCCAGATGTGGGAATGTGAGCGATTGAGTACACATCTGACTGAGCAGAAGGGGGTGGCAGGGCGGCAGTTCTAGTGTGATCCATGTCTCAGTTGAAGCAAGAAAGGGGAGGGAGAGAATGGAAGCACTGCCTGAGATGAATGCTTTTAGTGAAGCCGAGTGGCAATGCGAAAGCCCCCCCTGCCATCACTCGTGTGTGAGTGGAGAGAGTCAGAAAAATGAGGTGGCTAGGGTCAGAACCCCGAGGAAGACCCAGCGTCTGCACATAGGCAGAGCACAGCACCGGGAGAGGAAGCAGGCAGTCACTCAGTCAGAAGAAGAGTTGGCCATTTGAGAGAATCTTTTCTGCTTGTCTTAGCCTTTGTTCGGTGAACGGAGCCTGAGACTGAGACAAAGCTGACACTTCCAGAAGCAAGCTTTGTGTAAAGCTACTCTCCCTGATTGCTAATTGCCTACCTGGAGCTACTTCCTGATTGCAAACTGTCCACCAGAAGTGCAGACTCTAACCTAGAATTAGCAAGACAAAGTCTTAGCAGCGACAGTAACTGACACTGCTCCCAGTTTCAAGTGGAAGGTCATCAGTATTAATGGAGAGTAGGAAACTTAAACCTAGTACACAAATTCTTCTCCTCATGTCCCGCTAGCTGTCCATTCTGTGTGTGTGCTTAGAAAAAATCTGGTGTTCCTACACAGCCCTGGCTCTGTAAATGGGAAATAAACAAAGTGGCTTGGACCAAGCCACACGGCAATATTCCAGCCAATCAGCAACAGGGATATCCGTGCTTGTGCACAGAACAAAGAAAAGAAGAAGAGGGGAGACAGGGGAAAGAGCAGCAGGGCAGAGACTATGAATCTAGCAAATGCTAACAGACAGTGCCAATTTGAGCATTACCAGGGGAAGAAGGAGGAGCAGTGTACCCTTCTATCGCCGCCGCACCATTGAGACCAAGAGACTGTTGACAATGGTGAATGTACGTACACCTGGTACACAAATGTCTACCGGTGACAGTGTGACGATTGCGTATACTCCATGACACAACCACATTGTGAAAATGGAGAAGTCAAACACGTTATGAGGAACACCAGTCAATTGTTTACATTTATTTTGACATAGTAGAGAACCCAGCATGCACTCTGACTGAGACTGAACCCGTGAGTTGTATCTGTCGGTTCTATCATTCGATACAGTATATCATAACAAAACTGGTATTAAAAGCACTTGTAGGTCTGACATCATCAGCAAGTTACAAACCTATTCAACATGAGTTCACGTTCATCGCGTAGGGCATGCTGCCGCATATTAATCCCACTTTCACAGCACCCAATGTAACGCCAGTAACATAATGTTAATCTGTAAACTGATCCGAATGCAACACTCACATGTCAAGTATAAACATGCACAATTATATTTATATAATTTTATTTTACACACAATAAATAAAACACAACAAATGTGCAGTAAACACAGATGATGATGTGATTCAACACCTGGAGCCAGTATCATGGAATTAGATCTGTATTCCTGTATCAAGAAGCCTGTTCACTTTTAACTGGGGTAGATCACCATGGTAACCTATGCTGCATGGCTAATCTGCTAGAGATTAGGTTCAGTTAAAAGGATCCGATGCCAACAACCAGACCAATCAGATCACTGTCCATTAGTCTACAAGATCCTGCCAGGGACAACAGTGAAGTTTACAATGTAATTGTCAGTAGAATGTCAGTAGAATCTCGTTTTCATGATAATGACATCAGGGATAGAGGGAGTGTTTCTTACACAGTCACCTGTGGACTCTGGTTTGAGTTCAGCTTAAAATTTCCACTCTCTGAAATGTAGTTAAGAAATGATGGTGTAGAGCTGTTTGCATGTAGATAATTAAACCTCTCAGCTGAAACCAACAGTATTTGATGTCATCATGTTCTGCTCTAATGCTAATTTAAAGCAGCATGTAGATCATGACACACCCGAACACTGTCCAGTGTAAAAAGCTGTTGTTGGAACATAAGCAAACATTTACAGAACTAAAACATAAAGAAAACTGTGTCTCTTGTGTCTGAGTTTTAATTTGAAAGGTCGACAGGATCACAGCTGCAGGAAACAAGAAAGAGGAATTGAGGTGTTCATTATTTCTTGCGTGGCACTTTGTCACCGAGGGGGACCTCGTCCATCAGTTTCTGCAGAGAGACCACAGAGGGATGTTAGTCACACCCTATCAAAATAAAATATTATAGATCAAATATAATGTACGGAAAATATTAGTTCATACAGTATGATATATAGACTATACAGAAAGGTTTCTGAAATAGTGTTATTTCATCCGGTCAGAGAAGTAAAAGACGATGTAGGAATTAGAACTAATCCATTAACCAAGAGCTGCTGAGACATTTCACTCAAAACAGCAAATGTTAACCTCATGGTGGTGCTAGAGGAAACATTAGGGGACCATCAAAGTAATAGTCCACCCAACCCACAGACCTACACTGCAATCCATAATGTATTAAGTTATGTTCATCAATCAGACACATGGATGCACAGACACACAAACAGAACCACACACTCACCTCGAGCAGTCTGCTGTAGTAGGTGAAGCCGTCCTCTCCGTCCCTGCGGTTGTCGTCCACCTTGTACCTCCTGCAGGCCAACAGCAGCTCGTTGGAGCTGTAGAGGGGGGCAGGGTCGATTGAGTGGCTGTTGATCAGGCTGACCAGGTACTCCCGGTAATGCTTCCTGGATACCAGAACACCACCATGTTAGCATGTTCACACACTGGATACTAGAGCACCACCACGTTAGCATGTTCGCACACTGGATACTAGAGCACCACCATGTTAGCATGTTCATACACTGGATAGCCTACTATAACATCACGTTAGCATGTTCATGCACTGGATACCAGAACATCACCATGTTAGCATGTTAGCACAATGGATACTAGAGCACCACCACGTTAGTATGTTCGCACACTGGATACCAGAATGCCACCAGTGAGCATGTTTGCACACTGGATACTAGGGCACCAACACGTTAGCATGTTCGCACACTGGAATCCAGAACACTACCACGTTAGCATTTTAGCACATTAGATACAAAAACACCACTGCGTTAGCATGTTCGGACACTGGGTACTACCACATTATCACGGCAGCTTCTGCTTGTATTGATGAGAAAACTATGAACTGATGGTGTAACAGATGAAAGGTGAGATGTGTTCTTTTTACAACTTGGGTCTTTCGCATTGTTGGACACTTTTATTTGATTTGACTGTGGAGAGAACCAGGCTTTTATTTGAGTCAGAGTTGTTTAAAAAAAAAAGAAGAAAAAAAAGTGTATTTCTAATTTTATCTGCTTTTAAGTTTATTTGATCATATGAACATGAAGACCCCTTCATGTTTACCTGTTGTCTTGATATATTCATCGTAAGGAACATTCCCACAGCTCCTTCTTTGTCTCTCTGACTCCCTGTACTGTTTCACTCACTGACTGAACATCTTCCAGTACCTTGTATTTTGTTTGGTGTCACGGTCAGTGAGTCTTTGACAGCAGCTTAACAGTGACTGAAAAGCAACAAGGTAGAAGCGACTGATGAACAGTGTTAGTGTTAAAAAAGAGAAAGTGAAAGCAGCAGAGTGGTGAGATGCTGGAGTTAGTGCTGAAGAAATGTACACTGTTCTGAATTTATCACATCAGTCATTATAGTACAGATAATTCCATCCCCAGTTTTTATGCCTCGTTACCAGTGACAGCCAAGGCCAGAGACGTTATTCATCACTACACTTCACTATATGTTAAATGAGTCTGGATGTAAACTGTAAAGGGTGGTAATTCTAGTTTTATGTGGAATTTATTAAAGAGCAGCTAACTGGTAAATTTATGGTCATTACTTTTCACTGCTGAGACATGGAGACATGGGGACACCTGGACAACACCAGCACACAGAGCAGTCAGTGAAATCAGAGTGAATACATCTGAAATGCCCATTATTATCATCCATTTTATAACTACATGTATGCAAAACATATTATAATATATTCTGCAGATTATAATAAATAATAACATCAGCTTTACCTATTTTCAATTCAGCCTGTTTGAACTTATTTGTTATTTTTTATTATTTTTGACACTAGGTTTAGACACTAGGTGGAACCACAGTGTGACTGAAGGAAGCATGACCTCCAAAATGGTCACACACAGGTGAAGAACAAGTGCACCTTGGTTAATCCTAGTGACTCAGGGTCTAAGACACATACTGTAGCACTTATAAAATGTTGCCTTGGTTACAGACAGGAGGCAGTGACACTGAATAAAGCATCTCACTCGCAGAGTCCAGCGTGTCCATGTTGGGTCTGAGCTCCACAGGCTGAGTCCGGCTGTTGCCCTCCCTCATCCTTCTGCTCTATCACTCCACACAGACCTGAGAGAATCAAAGGTAACACGCGAATATGATACACATTTAAAATGGCTGTTTGTAAGTTTTCTATGCTGCTGAACATGGTTTCTTGTGGTGATTGTTGCTTGACAAGAGCTTCGGCCATAGGTGTCTTCTTAATACAAGAGGTTATATGTCCTCTGAGCAGCTACATCTTCAGGGCAGATTGGAGGCTACAGTGACTCAGTATCAGAAAGTGATGAGACAGCTAGCTGGTTAGCATGCTAACTCCAGTAGTAGAAAAGGAATGATAGGGACAAGAGTTAACATTGAAGTTTTCTTCCACCTCTGGAGAAAGCTGTCGGTGAGTAAAGGAATGAAGATTGATACTGAACTCACAACGTGTCTAGACTGATAAGAAAACGGCTGGTAATGCTATGTTAACGTTAGCTATGTAGCGATAGCAAAACTTACAAATAGCTCCTTTAAAATTACATCTGCACGGAGTATTTATCCTATATTTCAGGCTGTTGATGGTTACACAAATAACCCAAGCTCCAAGCTCTTCAGCTGAGGCTCAGCTACTGCTGTCTTGAAACAAAGAGCTACGCCATACATGTGTGATTAAACTGTCCTGTTACTAAAACTTCACCCAGAATTCAGGATTGTCAATGGTCGTGACATAAACAGTAACAACCGCACTAACCATTTTCACAAGACACCTGTGTGTACTGTTCAGATTTATGTCCCAGGTTAAATAAAAAAGTAAAATACAAAGTGTGCGTCGTGTCCTGACCCACCTGTCTGTGTTCCAGGAGGAGGTTCAGTGTTGAAGGCCACTTCATTATTCTGAGTCACAGAGAAAAGAAGGACACTGGTTACTCACATCAGTCTGAGGAGCAAACCACAAAAACAGTTCACAAAACGGCACCACTTCTGGTTTGTCACTGGACAGAACAAAATTAAATTCAGAGTTAAAGTTAAGTCCCACTTATACAGGTACGCAGTGGGAGGAACTACTTTGGGTACCTTTGATTCTGGAAGTCCTGTTCCTTTTTTTCCATACACACTTTGTGAAATGTTATCTTATTGTGATTTCTGAAATTTTGTTGTACTTTGTCCAGTGTTGGCCGCCATAGTTTTCCCACTGGGAGACCGTCATTATAATGACTTAAATTGAACAGAATCATGTTGCAAAGCAAAACAAATCCACCTTATAAACGTTATTCACAGTGTTCACAGAGGATTCACAGAGAGGTCTGTGTGAGTACCTGGAGTAAAGCCTGCAGTCTGGAAGGTTCCCAGTCTCTCAGATAGAAGAGGCAGTCTCTGGGATGATGGGCATGTAGTCCAGACACACTGCACTCATCCACGGCACAGGTCTGATGTGAGGTCAGGAGAAGAAAAGACTCCTGTCACTTGTTCATATCTGTCACATGTAAATCACCTCTATAGTGACCTTAAAACACATTTTTTTTGTCCTCATTATAATCCTGTATGTATTCTGAGCGGGAGTTTAACTCCCTCAATCACCAGACTGGATGAAGATCATTCAACTTCTTTGCTGGCAAACAATGTATCCTGAGTAGTAATAAAGAGTGATATGTGGACCAGCATTTCATCAAATAAAATACAACACTGTTTCCATGACGATTTTGATAACTACACCATGGTGCCCAGATAGAAAATGAAACTTCATGCCCAACATATACCTGGGTGCTTGGCCCAAGTCTGGCTCATATACTTCCACATCTGGGCAGATTCCAGCTGTTATCCTGCAGTATTGACTGACAGCTAGAAGATTTTCTGCGTGTTGATCCAGATATGGAAGTAGCATCTGACAATCATGTCAATCACATGGGCCAGATTTGGGCCGTGGAACCGGGCGTATACTGGGCCAGAAGAAAACAAACATGTGGCCCCAGTATGGGCTGGATTTATATAGTTACCTGGGTGAGGACGACAGTATTTGTCAGACTTACAGTGTGGAAAGGGTTGTTGCAGCCACTGCAGAACTGGTAACGACACTGTGAGCAGCAGAAATGCATGCAGCCTCCTTTAGACAGCGCGTACTGGAAGCGGCAGTTAGGACAGGCTGGAGCGAGGAAGGAGAGGAGGACAGGAAGGGTGCGAGACAGACAGGAGGAGGGGAGACAGAGAGAGGAGGGAGACAGCATCAGCACTTTAAGGAAAACTGTTTTCATCTAATGTACAAGCTGATAATTTATTCACTGAATGAATGTTTCATCTCTGTGATCTCGCTGCTGTGAGAAGGTCACACTGAGGGTAAGCTGCCTGACTGGAAAGACTGGGAGTCACTGAGCACGAGCCAGGAGAGAATCAGAGGGTGGGAGAACTGACCTTCACATTTCACCTGAACACCACCTTCCCTGACTCACCTGGTGTACCATCTGTGACCACTGAGGTCGCTGATATGTTATAAAAACATGAACTTTTATTTGTCAAGAAGGGCTATAGAGATCTCGAAGGATTTCTAAGAACAGCACATGCTTTGTATTAATAGTAACAGTGGTAACAGTAATAGTAAAGCAGTAGTAGTAGAAATCTATAGCAGAGCCCAGAGCAGACAATCCAACAGGACCAGCAGTATCTGTTCAGAACCCTTGAGTGCTGGCCAAGGACACAGCAGACGCTCTTTCTGGAACACAGAGCAGCAGGATGATGACTTCCTTATCTCCTGCAACCAGGACACTGATCCATTTGATGCCACAACCCCACCCTTAAGTTTTCTACTTAAGTATGACACTTAAGCTTAATTTCTCCTGAACTGAGGCAGTTACTTAAGGGGGTTGCACAGAATCTCTTAAAAGGTTTCCTTAGTTAAGGTAAAAAATAAAGACATATACAGTGGGAAAATTCTACTGTTTCCATGGAACCCGTTGATTTGCTGCCATTAGCTCTTGTGATAGGCTACCTGTTATCACTTTTGGGAAGCTGGTAACAATAAAGGAGTGTATTTCACCACGGTGTTCAGCAGATATAAGAGAGTTTAAACTCTGACCCCCCATACCACTGATCTGTGGGCATGACACACCTCAACTGTACCTGACCAGAAAGATCATGTGACATAAAACTGTAGAGCAACCACTGAGCTGTGGAAAGTAGAAGGATCCAACTCTAGAGAGTCAGACCAATCATAAACTGCAGGTTAAATCTGGGATGTATAATCAGTTCCTCATCGTTCAGGGTGACTGCTGGTTGTGGGAACACTCTTCTTGGGATGCCTTCATTTATCACCATAAACTCAGTCATGTTGCAGTTAAGACAGAGTCAGAGCTACCTTTAGTTTGGTCGCTAAGGTCTTTAAGTTTAACTGACCTGAAGTGATTCCTGAAATTTAATTCCTACAAGTGAATATTTTAAGGAAACCTTAAAGAGAAGACTTAAAAGGTGTTTTGTGCAACTGTTTTCTTTTTAAGGAAACCTTAACTCAGACCTTAAGGAAAATATTAACTTAAGTTGGTTTCCGCAAACCGCCCCCTGACCTCTGACTCGCTCATTCACCTTACAGCTTTATATTCCAGCTTTCTGGACATCAGAACTTTGGACCCAACTCTGCAGTATAAGAAGAAGACTCCCAAGGGTGCACGCAGTTGTATCACAAAACCCTCTATCAACTTCCAAAATGGTTTAACTTTAATCTGCATTTCTCTGTTGATCTGACTCTCTGCCTCTCTCAGTCACTTCATCGCAAACACATTGGACCACAGCTTTGTATTGTTATCCACCCTTTTCCTGTTGTGTCTGTGTTTTGTGTTAGCTGTAGTGTTTAGTGTTTAGAGTGTTAGTTATAAATGTGTGTTCAAACTTTCTTTTGCTTGAATCTCGGTCACTTAACCTGAAAAGATCTGAAGCACACAAACCATAATTAGGATAATTAAAGAGACTTGCTTCCATAAAATAAAAATGATAATAAATTAATAACAACCATATTTGACATATATTTGACCTCTTGTTGTTTGGCCAGCATGAAGGACTATTATTTCACTGGATGGGATATGTAGAGTAATATTTCCCTCATTTCAGCATCAGGAATTCCTACAGAGATAAAGTCCATGTCCTTTACTTCTTGTGCCACAGCGTGAGTCTCTCTCCCGGTGAGACACTCTGCTGTTTGAAGATGCTCTCGGATTCTTTACTCAGCCTCATTTCAGAGTGGAAAATAACACTTTAGTAAGGTTTGTTGTGGAGAAGAACAGTGGTGGTGGTGTGCAGCCTTAATTAGATAAGAGTGTGGGCTGGAGGAAATCCTGTTGTCTACCACTCAGCTGGTTACATGCTGTGTTGTTTTACAGTCACATATCCATTATCAGTGCTCGAGTAGATCCACACATTACCTTCAGCTACTGCTGATAGAAAATAAAACCGGATTAGTGTGTGTGTGTGTGTGTGTGTGTGTGTGTGTATTCTCACTGATGCCGTTGTCTCTGAGGTATCCAGCCAGACCCTGCTTCTGATACTCTGGATCATTCTCTCTCTTCCATGACTGGTACTGTTCACAGGACAGACCTGCATGCTGGGACTCCCACTGCAGAGCACAACACACAAACACACACACACATTTCTGTTCTGCTGGTGACTATCTGTCCCTCCCCGTCATGAAATCAAAGCTTTAAAAAGGAACTAAAAGGAGCCAAGTGTGTGTTTTCAGTTAAGTTAAATCGGCTCACTATGTTTAAGAAGCATACTAATAAACTCATTAGTGCTACTTCAGTTAAATTTGAAGTTTGTATGTGTTTACAGTGTAATGTAGAGCTCTGTCCATGACCATAGTGTCTTTAATTTGAAAGGTCGGAAGGATAAAAAGACAAAGAGTAACGTCAGACTCTGACTTTGGTTCAGACTGATGGGCACAGCGGCTTGTGTCAGACACGATGGAGTCAGACCGGTGTTGGCTACACATAGGTAACAGGTATGTTACTGAAATTTCAAATAGTCTTTTCAGCAGTTAAGAACATTTATCATTAAGCGGCAGAAGCATTTATATATAAACTAATCATTAGATTTATTAGATACAGATTTACCTTTAATGAGAGACCAAACATAGAGAAACATCAAGACACCACAGAGTCACAGAATACTTACAGGCTTTTTACACTGAGCACAGAAACTGTTGCGACACTGAAAACAGGTAACCTTCAGCTGGTCTCCATCATAGATAAACCCATAGGAACACTGAGGAGAGGAGAAAGAAATATAATATATTATGAATACACTGGCTTTGAGTGTCATTTAGCTACATTCTTGAATACAAAAACATTTCAGGCCTAGAAAAATTGCCATTTATGTGAGTTGTGCTGGTTTAAAGTCAGCTTTGCTAAACTAACTGTACATAAAGGAAATGGCATTGAGTGAGACGGACATGTACAGAATCTACTCGGGGCACTATTTTAATTGTGCAAGCACAATTAAAAGCAGAAAACAGTAGGCCTGAAGTGCATGGACTGTGTGGCCATCACCAAGCAGACCTGCTGTTCTGGTTCATGGAGCTGCACCAGTGCAAAAGAGCCACAGATAAGAGGGTGTGACGATTAATAAATGTCCTCTCAGCCAATCAGATCACTGGTCTCATAGCTCTGAAACAGCTGAGTATGACAACAGTGGCTCAGAACATTCTTTAGAAACCGGGGTTCAAACCCAGAACCTTCTTGGCATGAGGTGACATCGCTAACTGCTGCACCACCGTGTTGTCCTAATTGGTACAATTATGACCAATCTACAAATGAATAACTAGTCTGTAGTTTATATGATTGTGTCATACATTATTCACTCTTAATTCTCCTCTATCTCATGATTTAATGAATGTAAAGACAGTAGCTGGCTGTGTGATGGCACTACACTCTGAGGCTGCAGGTTTATCAACATACGTGTCCTGCTGCCTTCAGACAGCTGCAGGGATTTAATGAACTGAAGCAGAAGATCTTCATACAGTAGAGAGCAGCTGCGGACAGCAGATACTGGGAGAACCACTTACTTTTGGAGGATATTAAGTTAAAATAGGGCAGAGGAGTGACGTTACAGACATGGTTCTGCTCAGTGTAAAGTCTAAGGAACCAAAGCCTATGGTCTGAAATAGGTGGCACAAGTGCGTTTAGGGCATGTCCATGTCACACTTGATATTTTAACAGGGGGAAAAACCGTCTCTGCTCCAGGCGCATGGTTCTAAAGGGTTGTACTTAATCTTTTAATTATTCATGGGAGTATTTCGGGTGTAACATCCAATAAACCAATCACAGAGCATCTCCCATTCCTTTTAGAAGCCAGGTGAGCTGCACCTTGGTGCATTGCTGTTATAACGGCATGAGTTAGATTCTATTTGTGGTCAGTTGATCATGTATTGTGACTGACCAGTGAGACCAGTCCTAACCAGTGAGACCAGTCCTGACCAGTGAGTCCAGTCCTGACCAGTGAGACCAGTCCTGACCAGTGAGTCCAGTCCTGACCAGTGTGACCAGTCCTGACCAGTGAGAACTTAATGTTCCTGAAGCAGTAGTCTTTAAAAATCATACTTTACTTTACACTTTGTTCTCCATAATTTTTGTTGACAAAGCAGAGGGCGACCCATCGTACACCCATGTACTCACGTGACAGCACCAAAGGAACTTGGGGTCCTTGATGAGAGCCTGCTCTGTCAGCTTCTTATGGAACAGCTCATAGACCTCTGGCTCCAGACACTCTCGCAGCTGAAGCAGGTAAAACAGTAACACACCCTGGAAATCAGAATCTCAGCTTCTTTTAATCCCTCTGAAAGTCTCTTTAACCCCCCGTACCACAGCAGATCTGACTGGAAGCGCAAATGAAACCCATGAGGAGAAGAGACAACAAAGCCTTGAGTAATACAGTATGTTGCTAAGGCAACACATAATATAAAGGGTAAAAGGGGGGTCTTACAGCTATTAACTGTATATTAGTATCAGTATCAGCAGTATCAAAACACAGAACCACGATGGGTTTGTGATACCTCTGCCTATAAAGGTGCTATTTTTACTATTGTAGTTTTGCTATTGCTACATAGCTAACGTTAGCATTAGCAGCTTTTTACTGAAGAAGAAGAAATGTTGTGAGTTCAGCATCAAACTTCATTCCTTTACTCATCAAGAGCTGTCTCCAGAGGTGGAAACAAACACTTTTGTTATGCTTCTATTTCTATCATTCTTTTCTTCTACTGAAGTTAGCATGCTAACCAGCTAGCACCGGACCGTCTAGTAGTCACTTTCCGATACTGAGTCACTGTAGCCTCCAGTCTGTCCTTAAGAAGTAGCTGCTCAGAGGACGTATTATAACCTCTTGTCTTGTAAGATCTTGCCAAGACTGGTAAGTAAAAACCCTCCTCATTCCCTCCCTCTGCTTCTTACCTGGATGTCCAGGGTGGAGAAGTAGCTGTTGAGATGTTCAGGGTCGTTGATGTTGGGCTCCCAGCAGACTGGACACACCATGTCCCTGATGTGTTTGTCCCTTACAGCGATGGTGAAGTGCTGCTGGAAACAACCACAGCAGACCGAACACTGGCATGATGTCAGGGACTGCATCTGAGAGAGGAGAGAGGGCGGGAAAATAGAAAGTGACTGGAGATGTGGAGATGTGCTCCAGTGCTGGAGAACTGATGGAAACGTTCAGTGTCTCAGTACCTTGCTGTGGGGGAAGACAGAGAGGCAGATGGGACACTCTTTAGCCAGCACTCTCTTGATAAACTCCCTGTCGTGGGACTCTCGTACAGCCTGCACTACGTCCTCCAGTGAGTAGGGGGCGCTGTGCTCCAGAAGCAGCGACAGCGCCAGCTCACAGCGACCCCAGCTGGGAAGATCGTACACCGCCAGTAGCCTCCGACATATCCGCTGGAAGAGAGGAAAGGAATTATATGGAAGAAGACAGACTTGACTTATCCTACCAGCTGTAAAAAGCCTAACTAATGCTCTATGAGTGTCTTCTTTTATGTTCAGGTTATGGCTGATTGGGGGCGGTTCCACTATCGCCATCTTGGCAGTGTCTGACTCCGCCCCTAACTCCCAGCTAATTCAAAAATGGTCAAAGAGGAGTGGCGTGTGTGAAGCTGAGACTTCAGTGCATGTTTGTGGAGTCTTAATAAAATGTACACAAGTGAGTTATATAAACAGTTCTCATGAAGGAGGAAATTAGCTCTAGAGACCAAAACTGTTTTTGTACCAGGCTGTAAACATGTTTATTTCTGCTGTAAAGTTGGACATTTTAACATGGGAGTCTATGGGGACTGACTCACTGTTGGAGCCAGACTCTAGTGGCCATTAGAGGAACTGCAGGTTTAACCACTTCAGTGTTGGCTTCAGTTTTCAGCCCCAAAGGTTGATGATTGGGATGAACACATGTTGCATAACTAACTTTTTTCTCTTCTCTGCAGTGTATTACTTCCTGTTTACTTTCATACAAACCGTTATACAGAGACACCTTGTGGCATTATGAAATACTGCACTGGACTCTACATTAGCACTAATCTGGAGTTGTTTCTTTGGCCAATAAGAAATGTGAAAGAAGAAAAAAACACGGTGTTTTCTTCATGGTTTTTTTCAGTTTAGCGTCTCACTTGTTTAGGACCAAAACAGATTTCTGTTTTTCTTTTCCATCTTCAAACATTGACATGGAGACATCTGTTCATTACCATGACATGAGGGCGCAGGACGAGCTACTGGGGAGAGTTCATGGGTTTCTAGAACCAGACTGGACTCCCACCTGTTTGTCAGGGTGATGGATGTCTACAGGAGGCTCGGGCTTGTCACTCCAAATGCGGTTGTGGAAGGGCTCCAGTAGGGGTCGCTGCAGCAGGGCCAGGGCCCCTCTCACCTCACCACCGCTCTGTCTCAACACCTCATGGCAGCGAGCCTCATCACTGAAGCCCAGCGCACACAGCTCCTTCACCTGAGAGACGAGGGTGGAGACAAATCAGGACAAAAAGAAGACTGGTGGGGGTTTATTTTTTCACGGTGACATGTCGCGTCACCTTGGCGAGTCGGTCTCTCAGGGCCTGTTTGGCAGCTCTCTCAGTGTCGCCCCCTGCTGTCAGCCAGGCTTGCTTGGCCTCTGCTCTGGACAGCTGGACCACGCTCTCTGTCTCTGGAGGGTACGCCTCTTTCCCAGAATCCTCAGCAGGAGCTTCACATGACCTGTTCTGTGTCAGAGGACAGTCAGTCACTGACAGTCAGAAGAACACAGAGGTGTGATGTGTCAGGTCTAAACTGAGAGAAGCAAACTGACTGTGTGCTCTGCTGTGGTCGGGGAGGATGTCGCCACCAGCATCCTGACCTGGTCTAACAGCAGAGGAAGCTCCGTCTTTAACCACTTGCAGGGCAGGATGCTGCTGTCCCCAGCCACCCTCATGCTCGTGTACACCTCCTCTGGACTCACGCCTTTCTTCTCCCCATCCTGATGCAGACACACAGCACACCGACATGAACAGAGACAACCACATGTAGTCTACACCTCAGGATGATGGAAGCCGATGGAGGTGACTTACTCTAATCAGTTGTATCAGCTTCAGCCCCTCCTCCTTCATCAGCCTCTGCCTCCAAGTGTCCAGGTCTTCGGGGGCGGGCTCTTTGGGTTTGATTGGCAGGGCGGGGACCCGTCTGACGGGAGAGGGAGGGCGGAGCTTCGCGGGCAGCGGTGCTGGCTCTGGACGAGCCAGGTCGCACATCTCACACACTGTCGCAGGAGAGTAGTTCAGATAGGTGCAGAACTGACACACCCACTGTGAGAGAGAGGGAGGGGGAGAGGGAGGGAGAGTTTAGATAATTCAAAGCTCTAATTCATGGGAAGGGGTGGGAATACACAGCCTGAGAGGAAACACATTATTTTGCCCCATAACTTAATAATCATTTCCTGGAGAGAAATACAGCATGTGAAAAATAAATAAATACATAATGGATATGTATTTTAATCAGCAAAGGCTTTCTGCTGGAAACACTTTAGGTCAGGGGAGATAGTATAAAGACGATGCGAGTAATAAACTGTGATGGATGAATGGATTATATGTAGGATTTTCCATCAGAGGCTGAGGTTACAACTTTTTTTTTTTTTTGTTCTTCCAAGAAAAAAATCACTTGCCTCTCAGGGCTTGTTTTTTGTTTTCTTGTCTTCACAGATGAAAAAAACTAAAACTTAGAAAAATTATCATGGAAAAAAAAAAAAAAATCCCTTTACTCTTAAAGATTTTTGTCTACAGTGACTTACAAGTGTCGAGCTACATGAAATGTGGGCTCTCCCCTCGGAAGCTTCACTGAACTCTGAAGAACTGTGTTTTCAGCTCCAGTTTTGTCTGGCAGCAGCTGCAGCAGCTGCAGCAGCTGCAGCACCTTCAGAGGCAGGTGAGATGGGTTCAGTATCCACCTGAAGACTGGAGCGGTCTGCCTGCTGATCCAGCTCAATCCAACACTGCCTTCTCTTAAATCCAAACTAAAGACTTTACTTTTCAGTCAAGCTTTTTCTTAAATCAACACACTGTATTTGCATGTATGTCTGTGTGTATTTACATGTATGTGTGTATGTGCGTGTACGTTCTGCTGTTTTATTCTGTCCTTATTTTAAAGCACTTTGAGACTTGTTGGATCTCCTACAGTTTGTGGCCCTGGTCCTTCTCTCTACACTGGAACACTTGCTCCGTCTGGATCACGGCTCTGCCTTCAACACCATCTGACCAGCGAAGCCGGTTGTGAAGCTGACAACACCCATCTGAATTTTGGATTCCCTTCCAGACAGACCTCAGCCCCAAACTCTACGCCCTGTACACCTACTGTACGAGTGTGTTTCCACCCAGGACAAATTCCAACATACCCACACACACTCACATACACACACCGTTAACTTACCTGGCTGTCAGGGTCACCGGGCATGCCCAGTACTGGAGCTGGTGGCCTGGGGGGGGTGATGGGTGGGTGTGATGGGGTCACTGGAGGTCGTGTGGCTAAACGAGGTCTTTCACACACCTCACACAGAACACTGCTGGCTGCATTCACCATGGTACAGCTCTTACACTGCCACTCTGAGAGGGAGACATCAACACACACACACACACACACACACACACACACAAATAAATAAATACTGTTAAAACAGAGCAGAAAAACAATCTGATTTCCCATCAAGTCTACTTGATGGGAAATACATATTCTCTGAAATACACACTGCATTTTCTTCCTTCAAGTTAATTTGACATTAATGAAACTCACAGCTTCCTGCGGGTCTGGAACTTGGTCTGGACCAATGGGGTCTAAAGGCTCATTCTCACATACAGTACATACTGATGGTTGAGCTACGGAAGCCCTGAGAGTCAAGAGAGAAAAAAAACCTCTGCTGATCTAAACTGTTTCTTCTCCTGTGTTTATGACTTAAGAACAGAAGGAAACATTTTCCCAGGATCATTTTTATAAAGTTCATCCATGAAATGTTTATGTAAAGCATAAATTTGAATTTCCTTCGTTTGTGAAATTTGCTATATAAATAAACTTTGGTACAATTCAGCCTCTTGTGGCTGAAATGAGTATTACAACAAAAAAATATATTAGAATTACCGAATATTCCTGAGTTACAGTGTTGTATAATGACCAGGAGTGTTTTTGCAAAACATTATGATGTCACAGTGAAGTTGACCTTTGACCATTTGGATATAAACTGTCATCACTTCATTTTGTCTTTATAGACGTTTGTGTTAAATTGTGTCATGATTAGTGAATGAATTCATGAGCTATGGGCAAAAATGCGTTTTGTGAGGTCACAGAGACCTTGACCTTTGACCACAAAATTATAATCAGTTCGTCCATGAGACCAAGTGAACATTGGTGCCAAATTTAGATAAATTCTCTCAAAGTGTTACTAAGATATCGCATAGATGAGGATGGGCTGGACAGATGTCCAGACAACCCAAAAAATATAATGCCTCCGGCCCCTGTGGCTGCTGGTGAGGAGGGAAAAAAATCCTGCTTGCCTGTAAGTGCTTTAGAGATGGGAAAAAAATTGAACCTGACAAAACAGAATGTTTTCTTGATTCTCAGGGCATCTGAATGGGACTGTACTTGGGCCTAAAATAAAACTACATCACATGAAATAGTATCATCAAATATTACTTATTACACAACTTAATTATTACACAACTTAAATTAGAAGCCACGTTGCTTTTAATATAAGTTGCATTTGCTTTTATCTCATTTTGCTTGTAAAGGAGGATGAAGCCAGAATAAAGGTGGAGCAGGAGACAACACAGACCCGTGATGGTGGCAGGCTGAGAGTCATCTGCTTTACAGCTGATGGACTCCAGGTGGGGGCGCTCACACTCCTCACACAGCACATCCTGGACAGAGTTGACTTTGGTGCAGTGAAGGCAACTCCAGGTGGAAGAGCTGAAAAAAGGAAGAGCGAGTGTGTTAACCAAGCTGTTCCTCGCATGAAAATGTAAAGCAGCTACATTAAAACGGTCAAACTGCTCAGTGAATCCTGCAGTGAACTGTGACCTGATACTGACTCTCACATACAGGCTGTGGACCAGTGGAATCAGAGTATTCCCAGTTCATATTGCCAGAACCGTTGATCCTGACCTGTGACAGCTCCGGTTTTTGGACGATGATGATGACGACGACGATGATGAGTTGACGGTTGTTCGACGGTGGTTGGTCCTCTCAGGGTAGGAGTGGTACAGTCTGTCACACTCTGAGCAGAGGCCCTGGAGGCAGGTGAGGCAGTGGGCGGAGATTCTGAATATTCCACAGATGGTGCAGTTCTCTGAAACACAGGTAACGACACACTGCACCAAGCACTGTCTCATCATGGTATACTATGACCTGCAGCAGGTCACTGTTAAATCAACTCTATGTTGCATTGTACCAGATATGGGACTAATAGAATTTGTAAAATTTAACATACGGTGTGGAGATACAATGGATCACTTCAGTGTCCCAATACAGTTCAGGGTCTCATCCTTCAGAGGCTGCATTTGAAGACTGATTGCGTGACAGTGAAGTGACTAGACTGTCCCATTTCTAAGGCTCCTTCAAATGCTTCCTTCCTTTCCTGGGCAATGAGGATCCTTCATGGCCCAACCTATCCCAAGATTCATTGCGTGCTGGTGATGAAAATAATTCAGCAGCAAACAATGCAGACAGAGAGCCTGAGTATTACACTGTTAAATGTATGTATTGAATTTCAGCTAAGATTAACAGCTAATGGTACAACTGCTAAAACCAAGGGCCTTAAAACCTCAAACAAAAATCCTCCGTACACCACACCGTCTCATCACCGCCACGGTCTACGACGGCTACGAAGGACCACACCTCCATGGACCGCGTCCTTCGAAAGATGAGGCCACTGAACTGGGACACAACTATAGTGTCTAAGTTTATCACTAACTGAAAACACGTTTTCAGAAGACAGTTTGTGTGAGTAAGTATAATCCTATTCTTTTATGGGGAGTAAAGGGTGGAGTAAAAAAACTGCTGCAAAGAGCCTGGCTGGAATTTACTGGTTGCTTTCGGCGCAGTTCTGACCTGGAAACGGCAAATAGCAATGAAGTACCAATGCATATACGACTCGTATACGACTCGTATATGCATTCAGTAGTTTTATTATTATATGAATTCTGACTTTAAACTCAGAATTCTAAAAAATATATTCATTTTTTTTCACATATGGCCCTAATTCTCTTCTGTATTTACCCCTCTTAAAAATGTAATGTAGTAATATTTACTCAGAGACATTTTAACTGACATACTTTGTACTTGTATCTGAGAACATTTTTACACAGTAAATTCAGTTGTACTAGAGTAAAATTTTCCGGTACTCTTTCCACCCCTGGTCAACAGCGGTTTCTCTTGTCACCTGGGTGTTTGTTTGAGGAGGTGGAAAAAACCTGGATGGACCTGAGGCTCTGGTGGTTGGACGACAGGGAGTGGCCATGGCTGCTCTCCCTGGAGGAGTGATGGTGGAGGGGGAAGGCTAGAGACTTGCTCTGACCCTCTGAGTGGTAGACCACAGCGTCAGTATTGAGACCCACGTCCTGAGAGGAGAGAAGAGCACTGCAGGTCATCATAAACTTCAGAATGAGAGACAGCTCATTCAGTGAGATGTGATACTAACAGTTCACCAGACATGATGGCTTCATCAGACACAGCTCCCACCACCAGCCCACAGTGCCAGGATAAAATAGGGAGGATGATAAAGGGGAGAGTGGGGTCCAAAGGTCTGAGACAACTTTCTCATTCAAGTGAAAGTTAATCACATATTATGAATTATCAACACATTATAATAAGACTGATTTCAAACTTTAATTATTATATAATATTAATTATACATGTATGCATAAACTGTCATAAATCTCAATTTAATATGATCAAAGATGGCGTCCCTCAGGGATCCATTTTAGGGCCACTCCTCTCTATTCTCTATATAAATGACTTTGTGACCTCCCCCAGCGCTCTACATGAAGTTTTATTTGCAGATGACACAAATGTATTCTTATCACACAATGATTTATGTGCACTACAAATAACCTGAATGAGGAACTGGTTAAGGTGGATACATGGTTCAAATGCAATAAGCTATCATTAAATATAAGCAAGCCAAACTTCATTGTTTTTCGTTCCAATAGAAATCAAAATAATGTTGAACATGTTTGTAATAAAATAAATGGTTGAAGCTTACTCAATGTAATATCTTTCACAATGCTAGTATTATGTACAATTTTGCATTTACTTTATATTACAGATTCAGTGACCTTATTCCACTTGACCCTTCCTCACATACGTACAAGACCAGAAAAAGGTTGCTTAAAAATTGGCTGTTTTTAAAAAAAAATTAAATCAGCAGTTGCCACTAAAAAATGTTTAAACTTGTAAAGTCTGAGGTCTTCACAACTGGGTACTCTACTGAGCTATTATTTTTATTCACCATTTACTGCTGATTGTGTATCCTGCCTATTGAGTTGATGTTTGGACTGATGGGATGGATGTTTTTGGACCATTTGGTTTTTCTTTCTAGGGTTTTAGGATTTAGCTATTATTGTTAGCATTATTTTTTTGTTTGTTGTACATGTTTGTATGTTTTTACCTGTATTTTATTCTGATTTGTGTAAAAAAATAAATGATGATGATGATGATGACGATGATAATATATACAGTACATTATAATTAGAGTGGTCTCAGATTTATTCAATATTCAAATAACAGGAGTTTACTGTCAGAAGTTGGACATTTTTTTATTTTACAACAGTTACTGATTAACAACATAATATAGTCTTTTTAAGCAAACATGTAACCTAGGGGGTTACAGATGTGATTGGGGGGTGATGGACTCTACCTTGTGTCTCAGTGTAGGAATGACTCTCTCATAGAACTCAGGGTGGGGGTGCGCCTCCTTGGATCAAACCAAACAAAAGGTTATGAACTACATATATGTGTATATATGTAGCAGAGCAGAGCCACACAATAAATACACACTCACCACAAACAGTTCTCACACACACACAAACACCTTGATAAGCATTTCCAGTTCCATCCTCAGACTCATCACTTCCAGTGTTACTGCAGCAACTCGGCCCACATCAGGATCTGTGACATCGTCAGGGAAGCTGAGCCCATCTGGCTGCTGATTGGAGTAACCATAGAGACAGAGCACTGCCCGCCCCCCCTGGGGGAAGGACAGAACAAACATGGCATGATGTGATCTGAAGGGTTTTATCTTTTGTTTACTTTCCCGAAGAGTTGAAATGAAATGAAATCAGACCTTCCCAGGTTCTTTATTAGGTCATTTACAAGAGGAACGACACTTAAATCAATAGAATTACTTTTCAAGAAAGCCATCAAAGTTTTAGATAAAAAAAACACCTTCATTTCATCATTGTAATATACTGGAAAAATATAATCTGTTGAGTTTTGAGAACTTTAAAACTTTTAGATATGTTTGTTTTATTCATAAGGTTTTGCATTGGCTTGCTCCATCACCTTTACATGAATTAATTAATTAAACAGAGGTCTGACAGTGGCGTTGGCACTAGGGTAACCACTAGAGGGGGCTGTGAGGTGGCTCATGGGTGCACCACATTTAGACAAACTGCTATCTGTAACGGGGAGTAAATCTTGGAATGGCTGACCACTTGCAATAAGGGAGTGTAATACATATCCCACCTTCAAGACACATCTCAAACACTGGCTTAAGTCAAACCAGATCTGGGATCATTTTAACTCAGTATGTAGCAAAATGTATTTGTCTGTGTATTTTATATTTATAGTAGTGTATTAGGACATGTTTTTTTGTTTTGTGTTACCTGCCTTGGGATGAAAGATGTAAATTAGTATTTGTTTATATTGTGTATTTTGTACTGATGTTCATTAACATGTATTGTTCCTATCAAATAAACAAACAAATAACTCAATGAATAAAACTAGAATCACCTCCTGGTGTTTGTCTGCCTCCTCCACTCAGACTAGTTTCAGGTCACATCCCTGTTTATCCAGAGTCAGAGAAAATATGATCCATCTGTGTGAAAGTTTGTCATAATTGCTGTGAAGTCTTGTGTTATGGCTGAAAAGTGTTTTGTGAGGTCACACTGACCTTTGACCTTTGACGACCAAAGTCTAATCAGTGTTACTGAGATATCATGTACATGAGGATGGGATGGACAACCCAAAAAATATAATGCTTCCGGCCCCGGCGACTACTGGGGAGTTGGGGGCTTTACTGATCAGGAAAAAAAAATTGGAAAATTGATCCTGACAAAATAGAATGTTTTCTTCATACTCAGGGCTTCTGAATGGGGTCGTACTTGGACATTTGTGCCAAATTTGAAGAAATTCCATCAACATTTTACTGAGATATCGTGTCCACAAGAATGGGACGGCTGCACATACGGACGGACAGACAGACAACCTGCAAACAACATGCCTCCAGCTCTGACTGTCTGTGGCGCAGAGCCATAAAAAAGCTGTTTGTCAGCACAGGAAATCGTTCCCTGACATTATAAGAGTTTTGGGACATTCAGGACAAGATCAGGATTATCAGAAATCAAAGTCACCGGACTGTTTGGAAACAAGTTCTACCACATAACTGAAACAGAAGAATCACTCAGAATGATGAACATCTATGATATAGAGCTAGACTATAGAGTCTTTTCTCTAGACTGACTGAACAAGCCATTGCTCATCTGTATTATTTCAGATCTGTTGATCTCTTCAGTAAAGCTGGACTCTTCTCTTTAACTGTGTGTTTGTTACCTGAATAGCATCGACAGTGGCCCTGAACACCGGGTTGTTGTGTTTCACAGTCCTCCAGTACTTTGGCCTGTTGGGGTTGGTCAGGTTACAGCCGTACTTCTCCAGGATGTTCAGAGCTGTAGACAAACGCTGGAGAGACGCAAGAGTCTGAAGAAGCAGAGAGATCAGTGAATGTAGTTCAGTTCCAGTCTGAGGCAGAAACATGCGGTGTACAACGGTCTCTGGTCTCCACACCGAATCAGATGAATAGGATCGTTTCACAAGTCATCAAATATCAACATCCAAAAACATGTGAAACTAGCATCAGACAAATATCAGAGTCATGATTCAGTCAGAGCTGAACACACAGACATGAAAACACCACTGTAAATAAACCTCCATAAATCTGATCAGAAACCAGAGAAGAAGAAGCTCTTCAGTCAGTGATCAGTGATATTTGTCAGTTCATCAATGGTACATAACACACAGGAAGTTACAGTAGATCATTCACCACACTTCATCTTCCAACATGTGAACAAACTACTTCAACAACGGGCAGAGCTAGTGGTAGCTTGCGAGCCACCCGTTGAAGACCTGTGGGTTAAAGTGATGCAGCCAACCTCCTGATAACATAATTCCCCTGTCTCTGGAAGCTGCTGGCTGGGGATGTCATATAGTTTACCGACATGATAATTAACCCGCTAAAAGCTCAAGTGCAAGCTTGGAGAGAACCTAAACCCTATGTATCTGTCTATCTATCAAGATCACAATCTTGCAGCCAGCCACTGGTGACACCCCACAGACGCAGGTGGCTGGCCAGCGAGAGGAGCACCCTCACCTGGTCACCTACGTACCACATGTTGCGGTCTCTGCAGCAGCTGGAGGGGTGTGAGCTCAGCAGACAGCCGTGCATATACTAATAAAAAATTATTTGTTACTCAGTATGGGTAGCACCAACCCCCTGCACCCTAAACCCCATTTGTATTTTATTTTATTTCTACTGGGGCAATTTTATCTAAAAGTAACCTACAGCCAACCTGGGTTAACCTGCTTGTCTGAATGGACGTTATGCAAGTATTTCCAGGTGGGAGTACTGTATGTGCACTTGTTCCCTCTCACCTCCTTCCTGTTGCTGCCGACGCTGTTCTCTATGACCATGGTCTCTGCAGCGATGTGCCGGTATTTGGAGCAGGGCGGTAAAGACAGATTGGCCATAGCCATGACCCCGGCCCGCACCTCCACCACCCGGCCCCCAGAGTACAGACACACTTCAGCCCGACTCCGCACCTCCTGCAGCTGCTCCGACAGAGACGGCATTCTGCGCACACACACACACACACACGCACACACACACGCACACACTGTCAGTGACTGCTTGGCATTCACATGTAATTACTTGGGATAAAAAAAAGCAAATACATGCAACCATGCATCTACACTAAGTGTGTGGACGGAAACCAGGGTCAAGCTAACATGCTCACAACAACAACCCTAACAAGCTGATGTTCAGTAGGTATCATGTTCATCATGATCACAACCTTAGTTAAGCATGTTAGTATGCTAACATTGCTAACTGGTGCTGAACACTAAGTTCTGCATTTATTAGGTCAGAAACCCAAAAGATTTTGACCTGACGATGGCGCCAGAGGAGAAGTTAAAGGATCATCCTGAGGGGACATTTCAGTCTGGATCAAAGTGGTGGTTAATATTTTTTCAATGAATGGATTTTCTTCTGATTATTCTTCTTTCGTCTTCTTCTTCTTCTTCTCAATTCCCTAGAATCCAAGGTGACATCTTCACATGTTTAAAGAGACTATTTGTAAGTTTTCTCTGCCGCCGAATGTGGCTGGAGCAGGTGGTGGTGATCCTCGCTTGACAAGAGCTATTGTTGCGTTTCCAAGACAACAATACATCAACAATAATACAACAGTATATACAGTATAAAGATCTACAGTATACATGCCTCCAGGGCAGATTGAAGGCTACAGTGAGTCGCCATTGGAAGGTGACTTGCTTGCTGTCATCTAATGTCAGAGCACCCATGAACCTCAACAGAGTCCTTGAATGAGCAATGAACATTTAGTCAAACTCCCCACCAATCAGGGGCTGAGTAAAGAGAAGCCAGAGTAAAGAGAGAATGAGAAAACAAAAGGAGCAGAAAGGCAACAATGTGAAGAGACAGCAGGTATAAACAAAGGTGAGGAGGAAGACTAACTAGCAAATAAAACTTCAGCTGGCTTCAGCATGTTCACTTGACTAGACTCAAAAAGAGAAGCCACAGCGATTACAAATCTGTTCTCAGAGCACGCAAACATGTGTGCGATGTGGTCCGGGTGGCGACAACAAAACAGTTCCTATCATTGTCTTATCACTACAGGAGCTGAGAGAGGCCATACTCCCCAGACAACAAAATATCATCAAGAGAAAAGGATTTTTTGTTATCCAGAGATAACGAGATAATTATCCTGTTATCTTGTTGTTTTCTCATTATAATGAGTTTGTTCATCAGAGATCAGATGTGCCAAGCCAGTCTGCAGATGGAAACTTCTAGAGCTGTAAACTGAAAATGTCAGGATAACGCATTGATTAACATCAAGAGAATCAAGAGAATATTTCAATCAAGGGCAGAAATCACACCGTGTCTTTTCATACAGCTAACGAGTTACTAAGGAGTGTTGCTAAGGAGCAGTGTTATATGTATAAATGTACATGTGTATTGTGACGACCCCTGGGGTCTTCTTTGGGGTCGTGGGATCCTTTTGCTGACCTATTTGTTTGCAGCTTGATTGGTTCATCTGGAACACCTGTGTTCCAGAGTATATAGGTCCTGGCTGCCCAGTAATCTCTCTCTGCTGCTCTCCACAGGCACATCTTGTTTTGGGTTTGGTTATGTCTTAGTTTAAGCCTTACAGTATGTTAAGCTCTGCCCTTTACAACACGTGCACTCACATACCTCACTCATGCACACCACACACTACTGATGTGACTGATTTCCAGTTTAATAAAAAATATTCTTTAATAATCTTAACCATTGTTTGTCTCCCTTTTGTTGTGGCCACTTAAACCAAGTGTGTGAGTGTGTGTGTGTGTGTGTGTGTGTGTGTGTGTATATCTACGAACACACACACATTACATTTACATACATTTACATACATTTCAGTTTTGCAACTGACCACAGGTTGGGAACCACTGCATTAATGTCCACTAAATATGTAGTGCTGGACCCATCTTTGATCTCAACTACACACCTGTAAAGACTGACTGTACCTTACACACACACACACACACACACACACACACACACACACACACACACACACACACACACACACACACACACACACACACACACACACACACACACACACACATGCCAAAGCACTCAGCATGGCTTCTGTAGTAGCAGTAGGCTAGGTGTCTCCAGGGGCACATTTTACCATGATGAAACACACACACACACACACACACACACACACTCGCGGCTGGTAATGACCACGCACACGTTGAAACAGTTATTAAAATTCCTGTGCCACAGTGCGCAGGTGTGACCTGTCAGTCAGACAGCTGGGTATCTGTGGACACAGCGGTCTGTGACCAGGTGACAGTGGACGTGTCGGTGGGTGCTGGTGCTGTTGCTTCTACCTCTTCTGTCCGGGAGCAGCGGTGAAATCCCGGGTCTGCTCCTCACGGTCCTCCGTCAACACCGACACCGAGCCGCAGGCTACGGCCTCCGGAACACCGTCTCACGTCAGTCGCGCAGTGTTACAGCAGTGATGTCCGACACAAAACAACGGATAACGAATGATGTCCGCTTTAGTGTTCTCTCCGCAGGCTCCAGCAGAACATGGACGCAGTGGCGGTGACGTCATCCATACGCTCAACGTTTTTATAATTTTATTTATGACGTCATTTTCATTTACCGCTCATCAGTTCCACATAGCTAGGTTTGACGTAATACCTTCTGGTCTTTTGAGATTAATGCAAGGAATTGGCATGATGTCCGATATGAATTCAAAATGTAACATTATGTCAGATGGTAAATGCTTCACAGACTAAACATGTAATAATCAGTCATACTAGGAGACTTGGCCAGGGGTTCACAACTCCTCCATAACTGTTTTGGAACTCTAGATTTTAAAATATAAAATGGAATACAAGATTTGGAATTATAATAAGAAATATTGTGTTATAAACAAAATTATAGAAGTTTAATTTAGAATGATACACTTGATTGATCCTGTAAACCAGGTACTTTCAAGATTCAGAGACGTTGACAGAAAATGTGTATTTTGCCACTACAAATCTGAGAGTGTTTGTCATTTATTTTATGAATGCCTATCTATTAAATGGTTTTGGTTAGATATAGAATATTTTTTTAAGATGCTGACTGGGACAACTATTCATTTAGAATAAACAATAAAGAGATATATGTTTTAAGATGGATGGATTGTAAAAAAAAAAAAAAAAATATTCTGAATCTCTTTATTTTATATGGAAAGTACTACATCCACCAATGCAAATGCGCTAAAAAGAAACAACACATAAAACAGTTTAAAATAATAATTAGATACAATATTGATTCATTACATGGACTAAAGAACAATAAAGCAATAAAAACAGTACAAACTTATAAAGCCTTAAAATTTCCCTTTTCTTTCATGGTACCTCTATGTATATAGTTTATAGTTTGGTTTGGTTTGGTATATACACACATACATATATGTATACATACATATATATATATATATATATATACGTATATACGTATATATACACACACACACACACACACACACACACACATACACACACACACACATATACAGTATATACATATGTATTTACAATTTTTGTTTCAACACCCTTATTTATATGTTTGTGTGTGTGTAAGCATTTATTTCCTTTTATTGTAACTATTTTATTTGTATGTATTGTTCATACACACTAGGTATCGTATTTCAGAAGTTATGTTTGTTTCCTCCATTTTCAATGTTTAATTGTTTTAATAAGATGAAATGGAAAATGTTTTGAATAAAAAAGCGTTTGAAAAAAAACATAGTTGGTTTATATTGTAGAACACTGGTATTTTAAAGCTAAATCTGTTTCCTTTTGTGTCATAGAAATAACATATATACATATACACATTATTCGTTATCTACCATAATAAATTATTCAGGTTTGAATATTCTAAATATTATTTCTTAAAAGATTTTGACTGTGATATTAAATTAAATAATAGTCATCCACCTTCTTGTAAGTCAATTGGACCCCATTTCCATCTGTAACCAGGTGGTTGTGAGTCCAAGTGCAACCTTACCCCTCAGAAAATTTTGAGAAACATACATTTTTATGAGTCAGATTTTGCATATCTTCGTTTAAGCTGCAGAAACTAAACTTCCCCCAAGTCCCTAAAACCCACAGATTCCCAGACAAATACAGAGGATGCAGATGAACCGGTGGTTGTGGTCCTGCAGACTTACAATATGACAAATGTGGTCACTGTGGTCTATGTGTGAAGAGACAGGATAATATATAACGTGAGCAGACTTATGTCGTAGGATGTAGAGGTGTGGTCCAGCAAACTCACACACAAACATAACACAAAAACACACACCACGAAGTAGGTCACATGAACACATTTATTTGTCTTGCATATTGGTAACTGAAACAATCCCTAAGATTCACTATCATTATGTTGACTTAAAGAAATAATGAATGAGTCTAATCATCACACAGGCTAAACAAAGCAGATGATGGACGAGTGGAACATTAAAGAAACAATAAAAGAAGAGAGCAAGGAGGGAGTGAGAGAATAAGGGAGGGAGGGAGGGAGGGAGGGGCAGGTTTCATAGTGTCTGGATTGTATGTTTGTATTTTATCTAACTGTACAAAATCTAAGTGATCACAAGAACAAATACAAACGGAGATTGTGTGACATTTTCAAATGCCTGTGTGGAGATTAGGTTGTGCATAGCAGAGCCACATCTGGTCAAACTGTACCGAGCCAGAGTAGAGCACCCCCCCCCCCACACATATGGACAGACCGTACCTCTCTGCTCCCAAGCTGCAGCCTGTAGCTTTTGAAAATTCACCTCAATAACTTAAAACTAATTTTTCAGTGTATACATTTGTTGTGACCATATGGAATATTTCACTGGTTTTGCGAGCGTATGTGGGGGCTTCAGGGCTTCACTCCACTTCAGCAGCATTGGTGCTATGTTGTTGTCCAAAACCCACATTGTCTGTTTTTATGTACAATGTTTTATCAGTGTAGTTGTCCCCACATTGTTATATCAAGAGTAATATCATTACTCTGCTGTGCTTTTTTACTATTTTGCTGTGTTAGACTTTTGAATATTGAACCAAAGTGACAGCCCATCTTTTCATAGGTATATTACAGTCTTTTTTTTAATTTTTGTCCCATCACTCATTTGGACAAAAGTAAAGATTAAGATGCACATTTTAGGATTAAAATTAAGATTAAGCTATTTGTAAGTTTTCTCTGAACGTGGTTTCTTGTCAGGAGCGAGTGGTGGTGATTGTCACTTGAGAATAGCTTCAGCCATCGTTGCGTTTACAAGACAGGAGCTTATAATATGTCCTCTGAGCAGCGCTAAGATTTAAGGGCAGATTGGAGGCTACAGTGAGTCGCTATCGGAAAGAAACAAGACAGGCCGGGCCTTGCTGGTTAGCATGTTAACCTCAGTAGAAGGAAAAACGTAACATAGATAAGAGTTAACATTGGTGGGTCTCTCCACCTCTTGTGCTGAACTCACAACATTTCTTCTAGACTGGTCAGTAAACAGCTGTTAATGCTAACGTTAGCTATGTTAGCTATGCTAAGACTTGCAAATAGCTTATTTTGGTTGACGTTAGATTGATTTTATTTGGGCATGATTAAGATAAAGGTTTGGTGTTGCTCACTTTAGTATTAAGTCCACATGGTCTGTGTGCCTTTATGTACATATTCATTTGTATTTCAAATAAGAAGGGGTCTGCTTGGGACACTGGCTCCCAGAACATATTTAGAAATTAGCACCCCATCACTTCCTGTTAAGAAACCTATTAAAAAAAAGGAGTCACACTGCATCTCTAAAGCTGCTATACAGAGGTTGATGCTGACTGGATGTTACATGTAACTAATATTGTGAACACATGCTGTGTTGGCAGCTGTCTTTGCTATGGTTAACCAGCACCACCTCCTGAGTGCCTGTAGTTCATATACAGTGTACTGCTGCTGCTGCAGCACCACAGTGATCCAGGCTGAACTCACTACTGAACATGAAGCCACTGCTTTCCACATACAGCCTCATTTGCTGAAGTAAAATGACATTGTGGCACAGTGAGGTTAAAGTGTAAAGCTAATGCTGCTTGACAACTACAGATGAGTGACACTGACATTGATGAGAGAACAACACAAAAGCTGTAAAGGTCTGCAAACCCTGAGAACCTGAGGATTCACACATCAAAACATCCACTAAACAGAAAAAAACAAGAGAGAAGAACAAAAAACAGAACAAAACAAAAATCTGGCCATATTGTACAGGTTTTTTTTCACCTTCTCATAAATTGTCTATTTATGAAAAGGCACGCATTTTTTAAATATAATGGGATATTAACAACAACACACAGCTCCACATTCCTCTTATAAAAATGCAATAAATTAGTTTTAACTGACAACAAAAAAACTTCATCTAGAAAGAGTGAGTTGGAACATAATGTTATAATTCACTCACTCTGCACTGTGTGTGTGAGCAGTCAGTAGAGCACACAGTTACATGTGCGTTTGAATGTGTCAGCGTGCGTTCAAACTGATGCACAGCTGATCTAATAAAAAGAAAAACACTGGATGAGATTAGACAGAGTGCTACAGAGGCGTCGTCTGTAGAGGTCACTGTTACACTACCTTTACAATACAGTCAGCACCCATGCAGAGCAAGTCAGGCAGACACACACACACACACACCCTCTGTATCTGCCAGTACAGTGTGTGGAGTCACATGAACTGAGGGGACACCTCCTTCAGGGGGGCGTCACCGATGACTGAGGGCCAGGAGGGTGAACATGCACCTCCTTCCTCGACCACCAACACATATATCCGTAGTTTTGTCCATCTTTCCCATTGGCTTGGATAAAACACTCCACAACATAATTGCTGAGGTCTGAGAGCATGGGCGGGTATTGCATGTGGGCCGAGAAATCATTTGCAAAGCAGTCCAATATTGGTGAAAAGATGTATTTATAAAAAATATAAATAAGGTTTTTAAATGTTTTAAAATCTTTGAAAACTCCTTTTATTTATGTATTTTGTATTTTGTATTTTGTATTTTGTATTTTGTATTTTGTATTTTGTATTTTGTATTTTGTATTAAGGCCAATCTCTGTTAATCCAATGATAGGAACTTTTCTGTTGTCGCAGCCAGACCACAGTGTATACTTGTTTACTATACATCCATGGCAAAAACTAGAGCATCAAATGGATATCTGGTTGGCAACAGGAGGAATTAAAAGGAAAGAGAGTCAAGAGACAGATGATGAATCGACAAGTGATCCCCAAGGCGAGGCGATATTTGGCCTCTGTATTGTGATGGGGTCAGATGTGGGCTGCCAACATTTTTGAGATTTTCAAGTGAGCCATGAGGTGGAAAATGTTGGGAACGGCTGATCAAAGCCACTTTATTTGCAGCTTAAACTAGCAGTGAAGTGTTGCTAATAATCCTTTATTGTAGAGGAGAACTGTGTGCACACAACTGCAGTAAAGGGCACAGTATGCCTGAAGGAAACTAGATCGTAAGCCAGAAGTGTCTCTCTGCAAGAACTTTTCTGTGACTTTATAGTCTTGATGAAATGAATCATATAAATAGGGATAATGACTTTGACACTTTCAGAGCCTTGCCTTGTAGTATTCATAGTGTGGCACTCAAAAAACACTGATGAAAGGAGAAGTTTAAACCTGGTCTGGCTGATCACTGTGGAAGTGCTTGTCGGGTTGTCACTTTGGAAAAAGTTACAATAATAATAAGGCTCGGCTGTGGCTCAGGAAGTAGAGTGTGTCGTCCAGAAGGGGCGGTGGTTCGATCCCCGGCTCCTCCAATCTGTGTGTCGAAGTGACCTTGGGCAGTGTGTGTTAGAAGTGCTCTATGTGTAGAAAGAAAGCGCTGCATGAATGTGTGTGTGTGAAAGGGTGAATGTGGTGTAAAGAGCTCTGAGTGGTCGATAAGACTAGAAAAGCTCTATATAAGTGCAGTCCATTTACCAATTGTTGGATGCAGGCAGGTACTTTGTTAGAGGCACGCTGACAACACCCAAACATCCATCACAGATTACTGACCCACTGTGGATCAGTATCTATGATGGATGTTTGGGTAATATTCTCACTGTTTACCTTCAGTTTCTGCTCCACATGATTTTGTTTCCAGCCTGTCTGATTGTCCGGCTGCTCATGGTTCTTGACCCATCACTGTGTTCTCAGATCTCAAATATTAACTTGGAATGTGCCATCTTATTATTGACAGAAATGATAGTCAAAACTACAGAATAAAACCCATGTTGTAATAAACCTCCGTTAATAAGACACTAGTCTCACAGAGACCAAAACAGATGGGGTGTTTGGGTGCTCTTCGTTAACTCTAATACTTCCTGCTCAGCTGGTATGACTGAATTACAGTCAGTTACATTTGGACTGGGTTAAACCTCATGACCCTGAGGGAGGAGCCCCTGACCGGGGGACACAGGCAGTGTGTGTTGACCCACACATGACTGATCAGTGAACTTTCTGTCTTTATGTGTTTATATATCTGCACATTTCACCTGTCTCCTCATGAGAATCAGGTGTCTCATTTAGTTTAGGATTTGTCTCACTCTCGAGGAGTGTGCAAACAGTGGTCTAGCAGTGAATACAACAGCCTTTACATCTGTATTCTTTTCACTTTTTTAACTTTCAAGACCATACTTTCCTTTAGAGTATTATAGAAAAAGGAGAGACAGAAATTAAAAAAAAAAAAGAAAAAAGAAAAAGATACACAAAACAGAATCTATTGTTGAACCACTGAGACAAACATCAGTGTTCAGGATGCAGCAGATGCCTTTGGACCAACAGAATTATAAGAGTGGGACGTTTTATCCTGTATCGTGTGCTTGTGTTTGATCTGGGTCCCGTTACAAGAACATAATACCTGGACAGAGAGAATGATGAGCATGATTGATCATTGATTTTTCAAGTCTTGTAAAATAGAAATTTTCAAAAATTGCTTCGACAAATATAAAAAATATTATTTCCCTCCACCTTCTGTCTTCACTTGGTGTAATTAGTCCATCACAAGAAATAGGCCTAAATAGCAAGCAATAGGAAACTGTAAATTATACCTGTTGAGCTGTATACAAAAACTCTCCAGGATGGTCATAAATATTCTCATTCACACAAGGCTTTGTTTATGCTCATGTCTGAGCCCTAAAACATCAATCAGTCACTGTTTTCCTCTGCAGCATATTAGTCTGATCTTCAAAGAACAAGTCAGCAATGACTGACATGAGACCGTCGTTCAGATAGAACCCAGACCGCGGGCGTGTGCTTCTGACTTCCCTCAATGCCCATTAATAACGCCACAACGTGACAATGCTGCAGGGACACCTGTTTCCTGACAGCAGCGCTCGCCAAAATAAGAGACGAGAGTCCAAAAGTCTTGTGGGATATGACGAGTGCAACTCTCCAGAAAAGCTGCAACAACTCTGAATGCTTTAATGTGTTCCCACACTGTCTTTGTCTACAGGTGCATGACAGGAAGTAGTTGTTATGGTGTATTCTGGGTAGTTGCTGTCTTCCATCCCATCAATCTTTTCCTCTACCCGTCGGTTTGGCGTCCCGGTCTGTAAACCTCTGTCTGCTTTCGGGCTTACATGCTTGTCTCACAGGGCGGTGTCATGCTTCCATCCAGGACGACGTGGTTTTCTCGTTTCTCTCCACTCTGCTCTGCTCCATCTCCTCCTTCTCCTCCACCTCCTCCTCCTCCTCCTCCTCCTCCTCCTTCCTCCTCTCCTTCCATAGCTACTAGCTCCTGGGTGCAGTTAAGCGGGCTGGCTTTAGACAAAAGTGGGCTCGGACTGCTGCTGGAGCCAACAGCAGACCTCTCCATGTGATTCCTCCCCTGGTGGCTTAAGCCTGTGAGCTGCCCTTCACCTTCTAAGCTCCTGGCTGCTGAGCCCTCACCTCCCCCCTGGGAGTTGCCTGGACTGACAGATTGCTGGGCCGGGGACGGAGACTGCACGATTGCCAGCGGAGACTTAACTTCCTGTGTAGCAGAGGTGGGAGGTGTAGAAAACCCGGAAACGATGTCGTCAGAAAGTAGTTGAGCAAGCTTGGCTGAACCCGGGGTTGCCACAGGTGTCATCACTGCCATTAGCACGTCATCTTGGGATCCAATAAAGTCAACCTGGAGGGCTCTTGTTTTCTGAGGGCTACTATAATCTTTCAAGGTGCTGCAGATGCTGTCATAGGTCACTCCACCGCTTTCTGCACTCTGTGGCATCAAACCCACATCTCCAGCCCTTCCTCTGGGGCTGGACACAAACTCATACAAACCCTCTTTGATGATGGTCGCTGGCTGGATGCCGTCAGGGCCTCTGTTCACCTCCATGGCGCTGATCTGACTTAGATCCAAGGGAGGGGGGATGCGCTGGTGTTTAGCTGGAGTTTGACCCTCAGCGCTCACGAGAAGAGAACTTTCTCCTCCTTCCACTGGAAAATCATCCGCCACATTAGAGAATTTGCTGACGTCAGGTGCAGTTTGCCGGCGTTGTGTGGACATCAGTGTTTTCATCTCCATCTGCTCCTCTATAATTTTTTCCTCCTGCTCCTGCATGGTCACTGTCTTGTTGTAAGCTTCTTCCAGCCTCTTCACGTTGAGGTGTTGAGGGGTAGTTTTGTTAGCTGACAACTTGGCCCGATCAGGAGAGCCCAGCTGAGCCACCTCGAGGTAATGAGAGTGTTGAGACCTGCCTGGGCTGCTTACCTCTGCATTGGAGTAGTGTTTGTGGTAGCTCCAGCGGCTGGGTGACAGGTGATTATCCACAGGACACTTGCTGTCCTCTCTCTTTTCCACCAACACATCTGTAAGCTCCATGCTACGTGCAAAAGCATCCTTCAGGTTAATAGAAATAATGCTTCCACTCCTCTTGGCTCTTTCCAGAGCTTCCCTTCTCTTGATGGCCTTCTCCTGCCTCTTCTGCTCCCGGTAGAACTCAGAGAAGTTGTTGACGATGATTGGGATAGGAAGGGCAATGACCAGCACACCTGCTATGCAGCAGAGCCCTCCTACAATCTTGCCCAGCAGGGTTTGAGGGTAGATGTCTCCATAACCAACAGTGGTCATAGTAATGGTAGCCCACCAGAAGGAGGCAGGGATACTGGTGAATTTAGTGGCATCCTCATCCTTCTCAGCAAAGAACACCAAACTAGAGAAGATCATAATGCCCATGGCTAAGAAGAGGATCAGCAGACCCAGCTCATTGTAGCTCCTTCGCAAAGTGAAGCCTAGAGACTGGAGTCCTGTTGAGTGCCTGGCCAGCTTCAGAATCCTCAGGATCCTCATAATTCGGAAGATTTGGACCACACGGCGCACGTTCTGGAACTGCATCACGCTCTTGTTGGACTCAGTTAGGCAGAGGGTCACATAGTAAGGCAGTATAGCCAGCAGATCAATGATGTTGAGTGGTGCTTTGATGAAATCCCACTTGTCGGGTGCTGAGAGAAGGCGCAGCATGTACTCCATGGTGAACCAGGCAATGCAGACAGCTTCCACGTGGGCGAGGCTGGGGTTGTCATTGAACTGGCCAAACTCATCCACCACCTGCAGCTCCGGCAGGGTGTTGAGAGACAATGATATGGTGGAAATGACGATGAACAGGATGGAGATCATGGCCAGGACCTGCAGACAAAGACAAAGTTGTGGGTTACTGCATTAGCAGAGCATATTTGTAATTTCTTACACAGATAGATGAAGGAATGCAGAGATTATGATCCTTTTGGTTCAGACTGAAACATCTCTACAGCTATAAATGATGTGCTGTGTTTTCCAGAGGATGAATCCTAATGACTGACCAATGATCCCCTGACTCTTTCTCTAATGAAATCACCCAGGTGATGTGTTTGGCTGGTTAGGGTTAGGGTTGGATGGTCCCCAGAAGATGAACTAGAAGATGAACCTTAGTGACTTTGGTGACCCCTTTACTTTTATCCTGTTATCCAACATGTATGTCATCATCTACTGGATGGATTGACAGAAAATGATGCACAGACTTTAAGTCTTTCGACATGCCTCTGGTCTTTGTCTTTTGTTTTTATAATTAGTTGAAATCCACAGTAACAATAAAGAATAATGAAAAAATATCTGCACCTACTTTTTTTAATTACACAATAGGATTTATTACAGAGCTGATTAATAATAATCTGGAGGGAAAAGGTTTCAGCTTAGTTGTAATGAATTTACATGTCATAGTTATTTTGTTTTGGGATGCAGCTGTTTGATTTATACACTCTCTCTGTTTCATCATCATTACGTTTTGAACTAACACTGAAAGACCATGTTTTAAGTCAGAGATGATTGTTGTGAGTTTTTCTTTATTTTATTATACATTTTTTTCCAGCAGACCTGCAGAGGTGATGAGCTACAGCATGGTTCATTGTCTCCTCCGAATGCAACTTGTTTAAAGACGGACTTAAGATCAGGAATCAACCTTCATGGCCGCTGAAGACATTGTTCAGAACACACATGACATGAAAAAAGATAAATACTCTAAAACAGGGGTTTTCAAAGTCTGAGACTGTGGGCCTCCCCTTAGACGAACCTTGGAAAACAGCGCACACTCACCCCACCTTAGTGTACTTGCTTTGTTTTGCTCAATTCCTGGATGTCTATGGGATCATGACTATGTTATTTGATCCTGTAGACACTGAACAATTGAGCCAAGACAGCCTAATACTGCTGTTTGACATTACTTGAGACTAAACCAAATACATTAAAAAAAAAAGCCTGTCCTAAGGCTTTTATAAGTTTCTGACTCTGTGAAAGTGGGAAAAACGGTAATTTTCCCCAACACTGCTGTACCTGATCTCTTTAACCAAACCACACACATTTAGGCTAATTTACGTGATCTATTTTGATAACCAATGTAATAACTATTATTAATTAATATTTTTTCCCTTACATTCACCCTTGAAATTGTTTGAAATTGTTCCAACTTTGAAATCCCCTGCTCTAAAGCTATTTATCTGCAGTGTTCATTACTACAAAATTTATTAGAGTCAATCACCAACACTGATTTAGCTGATGAGCCTTAACATTGGGGTAAAACCTTTTATAATGAGGGCGGCAATAAAAGAAAGGTCAGCAAAGGTCACATTTTGATCAAGAAGGAAAAAAAATCTTTCACTTTTTGTAATTTTTCTCCATTTGCTTTGCATGAAATATTGAATAGTTTGATCTCTTTAGGCTGTAAACACTTAAATAAAAACCATCTGAGACGTTTAGATGGAACTACAAATCTGGTAATAGACATAGACATGAATTTTATAAGTGTATCATACATTTTAAAATGTCAAATTTGAATTTATAAAGTAGTAACTTCAACTTTTATCCATAATCCAATAGAAAGAATTGACCAGGACAAGCTGACAGTCCAGCATGAACATTACAGATTCAAGACTGAGTTAGTTTTTGCCCTTGAATATTTCAATTCACAGGGGATATATGAAAATCTGACACAATTATTGCCCCCTGCCCCTGTTCAGTGGTCCTACTTCTAGAAAATAGACTGAGGAGGTTCAACACCACTACCTACAATCTCTGCTCAAAAACACTAACAAGGAGCTCTAAGGTCCGAGCCAAGTCAGGTAGTTGAAGCATGTGTGGTCTGAGTCTTCTCTCTGCAGCCCTTGCTAGGACATTTCAGGATAATTGTAATAGGATTGTGTTGCTATCTATAGAAAGGATAGAGAGAGGTTAGAAGTGGTTACTCATTCTTTCCTCCCCCAACAGGAAGAATCAGGCAATTGTTGGACACCCCCAAGAAAAGCTTTACACTAAAACTAAATAAATGAATTAAATAAAATAGAATATACAGACAGAAGAGAAATTAAAGGCCAAACCAACATAAAGTGTCGTAGTAAGTAGTAGGTAGTAAGTAGTAAGGTGTTGTTCCACCATATGCTGCCAGAACAGCTTAAATGAGACCTGGTGACTGTTAGGACCATAGCGGATAATTCACATCATTTTCATGCTCATCAAACCACTCAGTGACCCCTCGTACTCTATGGATGGAGGCATTGTCATCCTGTTTCTCCAATCATTTTTCTGGTTTTCCCTTTAATTTGTCACCCGTCTGTGTATGTATATATATATATATATATATATATATATAATATGATGTCAAAAATGACTGACAGAGAACCCTGTTGAATGAACAGAGGCTGTGGTGCCTCATGCTCTGTGTGTGCTGCTACATCATGAGTG